ACCCCCAGTACCTACCCCCCACCCCTATACTCCCAGTAGTTACCCCCGCCCCTGTACCCCCCAAGGAGATGGGATCCACCTGGCTTCAGAAAAATGCGATTCGGTCTTTCTAGAGAATCTAGAGAATGTATGTTGTGTGCTGTTGTTTGCTAGTTCTAAGAACAATATACCATGTAATGTATGTAAATATGTGCACATATTTACACCCTAAAATGAAAACGAGGGTGGGCGGAGAAGTAACTAGAGAAGAGATGAAAATAAAACTGAACCCTCAAAATGAGCAGCTACAGTCTGGAGAAATGGCTCAGTGGTTGTAAGAGCGCTGGTTGCTCTTGCAGAGGACCCCGGTTCGATTCTCAGCACCCACATGGCGGCTCACAACCATCTGTGGTTTCAGTTCAGGGGATTTGATGCCCGCCTCTGGCCTCCACAGCTCCTGCATGAACACGTGCACATCCATATGCTCAGGCACACACGCATACCCATAAAAATAAAATAAATTATACATACATACATACATACATATATGTGTATGCAGTTAGCATTTTGGCATCTACTTTTCCAGTCTTTTTTCTGTGTGTGAGTTCACATACACACACACGCATAAAATAGGTATGTGTTCACGCACATATATGTATATATATAGACACACATATTGTCAAATAGTATGTGTAGATTATATTTACTTTATGTGTATGTATGTATATATGCATGCGTGTATGTATATATCATAAGACGGGCCTGGTGATCCGGGCCGGTAAGTTGCCTCTCAGGAGACCAAGAAAGCAAGATTATAAATTCAAGACTAGACTAGGCACCTTAGTGAGGTTTTTTTTTTGAGACAGGGTTTCTCTGTGGCTTTGGAGCCTATCCCAGCACTCGCAGATCCGCCTGCCTCTGCCCTCCGAGTGCTGGGATTAAAGGCGTGCACCACCAACGCCCGGCTCAAAAATAAAAAAATGTTAAAGGTTGGGGAAGACCTGAGATATGGTTTAGTAGCAGATTACATGCCTCGCACGACTGTGGCACAAGATCACACACACATGCACACACATACACACGTGTGCGCACACACACGCACACAACGCACACACATACACACGTGTGCGCACACACATGCACACAACGCACACACATACACACATGTGCGCACACACACGCACACATGTACACACATACACATGTGTGCGCACACACACACATGCACACACATACACACAGGAAGAGGTGGGTCCACCCCCACAAGGAAGAAGTTCTGACTGCCTCCCACCTGGTGCTCAAGCAATCTTGCCTACCTAGGGTACCTGACCCACCATGTCCATGGAGCAAGCAGGCTCTGTGACACTCACAGCTCTCAGGTGCACAGGTCCCTCACCACAGGGCCTGTGTCACTCAGCTCCAGGATTTGTTTTATTATTATTATTATTTATTATGAATATGGTGTTCTGCCTGCATGTCTGCCTGCAGGTAAGAAGAGGGCACCGGATCTCATAACGGATGGTTGTGAGCCACCTCGTGGATGCAGGGAATTGAACTCAAGCCCTCTGGAGGAGCAGCCAGTGCTCTTAACCTCTGAGCCATCTCTCCAGGCCCAGCTCCTGCATTTTTAACTTTGGAAAAATCATCCATGCAAAGCAGACATATTGATAGCCTCTTCTTTCATGAGACACCAGGTTTCCTGGTTCCTGAACCTTCCCCAAACTTCCTTTTCTATAACACACTGATATCCACAGGAGCAAGCTGGTCCACCCTGTTAGCTCAGTGTTTCACAGCCCCACTGTGACAAGAGGTAGACAGCTGTGGAGGGCTGTGTGGGCTCTGTCCCCATCTCTGCAGCTCACTTAACACCTCCTGTGTGTCACTGTCTCCTGTGCAGCCCACTACCCAGCCTCCCAGCCTGGGGGTGGAACACTCACTCCTCCTGAGGGCTCTGCCTGCAGCCTTCGAAGCTGAGTGCGCAGCTCGCAGACCTGCTCTGTCAGCTCAAACACTCTCCTGCGCAGGGCATCCTTCTCCACCAGGCGCTGAGAAATCTCCATCTGGGCCCTGTCCCTTGCTGTGTATGCCTGTAGCCAAGACAGGGCAGACAGGTGGGAGCAGTTAGAGGTTCGGGGTTGAGCAATGAACCAGGCATCTGAGCTGCAAAAGATGCCCCAACCAGGGCACACATTGAAAACACAAGCCTACTACACTTCAATAAAAACCATATCTGGGATGGATAGTCTATGTCGTGTGTCAGAAACAAAGATAGGGAGAATGACAGAGAGCCTGTGTTGGTGCCTTGCAGGGGAGTGAAGGAACCCTCCACGAACCAAGCAGAGAAACCCTCAAGTTTGAATCCTCTCCCCTGAGCCAGCTTGGCTTCACCCGCACACCAGCAGGGGACAGTGTAGATGGTGGAGTCTTCCTGAGCCTGGAGCCATCAAGGGAAGACACCTGCATTCCCCAACTCCAGGTCTATCCCCCAGAGTTTAGGATACCTGGTCACGTTCCTTCTGCAGCTCGGCCACCTGGCCCTGTAGTGTGGTTATCTTTTCTCGGTACAGCTCACAGTCCACCTGGGTCTTCCGGAACTGGAGTAGGGTCTGTTCTTTCTCCTCCCAGTACTGTGCATTGGGACATAGCCATGGCGCTCATTAGCTCTGAGGCCTTAGGTGGGAAGGGGTGGATGGGGATACGGGGGCTTGGAGGGGAAGTGAGGTGAATTCGCTTTTTCTGCAGGAACAGGTTTAGAGGTCTGTCTACAGAGCCGCAGAGCCAATTGTACTGGGTATATATAGTCTGCAATTGGGAGTGCACGGTGTGTGCAGAGTTACACGCTGTGTAATGGCCCCAAATACAGGAGCCATTTCCCCTTGCCTCTCTCTCCTACTGTTGCCTTCTTATCTCTCCATTTCCTTGTCTAAATCCTGGGCTCTTGTGGTCCCTAAGCCTTTGACATGGTCCTGGGGCTCCCTCCATTTCTTGCCTGACCCTGGGGACTGGGCTATGGTTAGCACCTGGCAAGGACCTAATGGAGGAACAGTGACTATGCCAACAATTATCTAGGCACAGGTAGTTAAACTGTGTGGGTGACTGAATAGACCAGTCTGTCCCACAAACGCGCCTGCTCAAGACGAAGGGCACCGTCACCTGCTTCTGCTGCCTCTCTGCAGCCACCGCTCGCTCCCGCAGTGAGTGGATTCGGTCCACCAGCTCTTGCTTGCTCTCCCGGGCCTCATCCAGGCTCTGCTCCAGAATGTCCTTCTCCACCTGGTGCGGAATGAGATCAGCCAACCTTCCAAGAGCCCTACCAGTAGGTAAACAGAGTCCCCAAGGCTGTGTGTATGTCAGATAGTGTGGCCTTATTGCCATAGGTAACTGTTTGAGGCTAGCCTAGGCTACAGAATGAGCTCAAGGCCAATTTAGGCTACTTAGTCTCTAACTCAAAATAAACAGTGAAATGAGAATCGTGGATACGCTTCGGAGTCTGAGTGCACAGTGTGTAGGGCTCTTGGTTCAATCCCCAGAAACACACACATGCTCCTGCACACATACACGCCAGTCATAAGTGAGAAGACAGGCATGTGGCTCTAACTGGTCAAGAAGACAGAACCCCTCGAGGGACAATTCCTTCTGCTTCAACAGCTCTACCAGCAGGGCTTCAGGACAAAGGCTGCATCTTCACATGCGGCATTCTCCAGAGGAGCCTGTGAGTGACACACAGTCCAGCTCAAGCTGCAGTGAGCCAGGCCCCATCCTCAAGGGGTGTATATATTTAAGGAATCTGTGTATGACTGCCTACATGCGTGTATGTATACCGTGTGAGCGCAATGCCTGCAGAGGCCAGAAGAGGGTGTTAGAACGCCTGGAACTGGATTTACACATGGTCATAAGCTGCCATATGGGTGTTAGGAAGTGAACCTAGGTCATCTGCAGGAACAGTTAAGTGCTCTTAATTGCCAGCCATCTTCCAATAACCCCTCCCAGTAACTTTGTTTTTTGAGACAGGGTTTCTCTGTGTAGCCCTGGATGTCCTGGAACTCACTCTGTAGACCAGGCTGCCCTGGAACTCAGAGATCTGCCTGCCTCTGCCTCCCAAGTGCTGGAATTGCAAGCGTGCACCACCACACCTGGCAGTTCCCATCATTTACAAGTGGCCTTTCCTACTGCGGAACAGTGTGGCCACAGTAAATTAGCCCATAGAGTGAGCTAATATAGGGACAAGGTTTCTCATGCTGTCACCATCTGGGTGGTGGGGAAAGAGGGAGGCAGGAAAGAATGACGAGGGGGTTGCATAACCTGACCTAGTGGTGCAGACTTATGGCAGGATACTGAGGCAGGAGGATTATGAGTTCAAGGCCTGCCTAAGATATAGAGAAGGGGTTGGCGTGAGCCACCGAGCCTCACTTTAGTGAGAGCACCTGTGAGAAGTCCCACAGCCACCCACTGACACTAAAGACATGGTCTTTCCATACCATCAGGAGGCACTGGCCTCCTGAGGGACTGAGCCCTACCAGGCTGAAGGTCATAGAGCGGAGTTTCTCATTCTCCTCCTTCAGACGGTTCAGTTCCTCTCCCTCACACTCCAGGTCACTGGCCATCCTCAGGGACCTCTCTCGAGATTCCCGCTCACATGAAGACACAAGGCTGGCCCGCTGCAGCTCCTGCTTCACCAGGTAGAGCTGTGTGGGAGGAAGTGGTAGGAGGGGGCATGGGAAGGTTTAAGCAGTGGCCGGATGCAGCTCTCCCACCCTCCCTGCTGATTCTGAGCCCCAAGCTTCGGGAAAGCCATTCATGGCCCTATGGGAAGCAATCCCAGGCCCTATGGGAAGAAGGGGTGTTTAAAAGTGTTTATTTAAAGTACACGTATGAGTGCATGTCTGTGTATGGCCAGAGGCCAAAGGTATTAGATCTCCCTGGGGCTGGAGTTATACATTGCCCAGTGTGGATTCTGGGACCTGAACTTGGGTCCTCTGGAAAAACAGTGCACTCTTTTTTTTGGGGGGGGGGTGCAGTTTGAGACAGGGTTGCTCTGTATGGCTTTGAAGGTTGTCCTGGAACTCACTCTGTAGACCAGGCTGGCCTCAAACTCACAGAGATCTGAGATTAAAGGCGTGTGCCACCATGCCTGGGCTTTAGCTTTATTTTACTACAAATGGGATACAGTGTTTAACCTAGAGGCTTGAGCAGACCAAGGGGACCTGGTGCCAGCTCCCATCCCTGCAGTTAGACTGACGTGCCCCTGCTTTCACAGCCCTCTTTTATTCTGCCAATCCCTTTGATGGAGAGAATGTGGGCTCGGAGATGAGTTACACCACCGTGAGGAATCCATGCCAGCGAGGGCTAGGGACGTTGAGGGCCACGGGAACTGCACCTGCCAGCCAGGCAAAGTTTCCTGGGGTAACTTTCAAGGTCCAGGTATCTGTGTGTGTTCAGGGTCCTGAACCCCCAAACTACCCAGCTAGATCAAGCTGGCCTCTTTTTTTTGGTCAGAGGCCCAAGAGGAACTTGGATCTCCAAGACCTCCCCCTCTGTTGGTCTGGCCTCCCCGGAAGGAAGGGTCCCACACGGCAAACCCAGGAGGTCTGCATGTCACGGTGGAGGCTGGCTCCCAGGCTGGGCTCAAGAGAAAGAGGCATCCTGCTTGGGTACCCCCACCCCCACCCATCTGGCCCAACACCTGGCTAGAGTCCTCAGGGTAGGGTACCTCCTCCTGCAGGCTGTGGCAGCGTGTGGCAGCCAGCTCCTTCTCCCGGAGAGCGTTGCCATAGTGCATGGATAGGCTCAGCATCTCATCCTTCAGCTTCAGGACCTCGTGGAAATGGACACTGACCTCATGCTTCATGCGGCTGTGGTCCACCTCCAGCTGGCGCAGGCCCTCTGCTCGGGCCTCAGCCGAGCCCAGGCGCTCCTTCAGCTGCTGGCATCTCCGAAGCAGTACCTCCTTTTGTGCCTTCTCCTGGGCCAGCTCTTCCTGCAGGCTGCTGATGGCCCCAGCCAGGCACTCAGTCAGCTTGGACGTCTCCATGAGACCTGCAGATGGGCAGGGGTCACTCTCTCTGTCACCTTGCCCTTCCTTACTCAACCCCCAGGGTCTCGTACCTCTTGGCCAGACCCTTGCGAGCCTACAGTTCTATTCTGTTGGTCTGTCTGAAAACCTCCTGCCTTTTTGGACTCCATATTTTTGGTCATGATTCTAGGCTTTTCCACAAGACCCTGCCATTCTCATCGAACTCCCCTTGTGGGCTGATTGCACTCAAAGCTAGCAGTTTCCATGGGACTCCAAGGAAAACACAGCAGAGACATAAATCTGCCTGAAGAACTCACAAATGCGTCTGTCACACCAAACCAGGACAGATGGCTTTTTGGCTGCTGTTTTGAGTTTCCTGAGAGGCCTGCTCTTTTAACACCCAAATCTTTCAACAGGAAAGAAAGGCCAGAGTCTGTCAGCTCCTGAACAGGACCATATGTCCCACCATGCAGGCTAAGCCTTTCCTGCATGACTGTGCTCACCTGCAGAAGTTGGGAAGAGAGATGCTAGGCTTCCCTTAAACAGAATAAAGGTCAGCTTTCCACTCCTGGAATGCATGGCTTCCCCCAGGGTTTCCTCACAGGGCAGGGTCACTAAAGATAGGCCTGGAAGGTTCCTCAGCTTCTTCCCCACCCTCTCCCCGTGCAGTGAGCTGGGAGAGTGCCAGGCCCAGGGCCAGAGACCCCGCCTGGGGAGAAGTGCTGTGGTAACAGCACTCTGACCCTGACCCGCTCTCACCACTGAAGTTGCTGAAGTCTATGTCAGGCTGCAGCCCGGTGACCAGGGTGTAGACATCAGGGTTGTGGAACTTCAGGCTTTCAAGAAAGGCGACAGCCCCATTCTTCCCTCGTGCCTTCAGCAGATCCAGCAAGTGCCCTTGGGAGAGAGAGCCAGCCTGAGCCACCAAAGGGTGTGGATAGCATTATACATCTGAGGGTTGAGTTCTCTGGGATCCCTGGTGGAGAGGCGCGCAGCCTTCACTGTTCTCACGGGCTCTGTTCACTAACTTGACTCATGTGTCATCAACTCAAAGACGCAAGATCCATATTAGTTGGACTCCCACTAGGGGCAAGAAAATGTTCTTCTATGAGCTGGGCATAAAGGGGTATTGCAGAGACGTAGTCTTGCCATGCTGAGGGCTCTCTCTCTCTCTCTCTCTCTCTCTCTCTCTCTCTCTCTCTCTCCCGGTATGTGTGTGTATAGAAAAAGGAAGTCTTTTGGGGTTCCAGAGAGTGGCCCCGGAGAGTTTTAGGGCTCTCAAATGCAGGACTCAAATCCCACTTTCCTTAGCTGGAGTTAGTAGCTCAGGTCAGTCTCTCCTATACTTGAGATCCACGCGCATACATTACGACACTGATCATTGCCACCTGCCGCCTGGCTTCCATGGCCTGCTTTTGTGGTTAGCGTTTTGTCAACAGCACTTCATCCAGCAACCTTCAGTGGTACCGTCACTTACAGGTGAGGAAATACTAGAAGAAGGAATTCCAAAGACAACTGCCGCGGGATGACCAGTGCTCCCAAAAGATATGCCATACCCCCCAAACTACCAGTGCGGCTTAGCTTTTGTCACCTCAATAAACTAGAGTCATAGCAGAAGAGGGAGTCTGCTTGGAGGTATACAGTCCATCAGACTGGCCTGTGTGCAAGCCCGTGGGGCATTTTCTTGATGATGGACGAAGAAGGACCTAGAGCATTGTGGACGGTGCCACCTCTAGGCGGGTGGTCCTGGGTGTGTAAGAAAGAGCACTAAGCATGCCGCGAGGAGGAAGCCAGTGAGTATCATTCCTTCATGACCTCTGCTTTTGTTCCTGCTCAGTGATAGATAGTGGTTGGGAAGTGTCAGCCCAAAACACCCTCTCCTCCCCAAGTTGCTTTTAGTCGTGGTGTTTATCATAGCATCAGAGCGCTAACTCAGATGGTGCCTGTGTGAATTTTTCCCTTTGGAGAAAGGATCTTTGTCGATACAATGAAGTGAAAGATTGCAAGTGAAGACTGTCCCTGGGCTGGGGATGCAGCGCAGTGGGTCACATGTCTTCACAGCGTGAGTGCTGGCACACACCTGTCTTCCTAGTAGAGACAGACGAATTGCAAATTCAAAGTCGACATTGGCTATATGGCAAGTTCCAGGGTACATGAGACCGTGTCTTGATGAAAAAATTAAATTTAAAAATCAAAAGAGAGCCAGGCGTTGGTGGCGCACGCCTTTAATCCCAGCACTCGGGAGGCAGAGGCAGGCGGATCTCTGTGAGGTCTGGTCTACAAAGATACACAGAGAAACCCTGTCTCGCAAAACCAACAAACAAAAAAAAAATCAAAAGAGAAGTGAGGATGAAGTGAAACGTATTCCAACTGTAAGTACGCTCACAAGAAGAGGGGGAGGGAACCCCGCAAAGGGACACAAGAAGGTGGAGGCAGAGTTGTGGTGATGGGACCACATGCTGGAAGTTTCCTGGAGACACCTAGAGCTGAAAGACAAGAACCGTCCCCACAGAGCCTGAGTGGGACCATGGCCCTGTCCATACAATGTGCACGACGCGTGGGCTGTAGAACTGAGAGCATGCATCCCTTGCATGCAGCCCTTGCATGCATCCCTTGCATGCAGCCCTTGGCAGTAGAGATGGAAATCAGGACCTTGTACACGTGAAACATGTGTCTGCCACGGAGCTACAACCCAATCCCACCACTGCCCTTTTAAACAACACTGATTATAGCTGTTTGCCGGGACTTGGTTAGGGAACTAACTCAGTGTCCCAAGAGTTGGGGACCTTGGTCCCCTTGATGCTTTTGTTGTGGAAATTGTCTTGCGATAGGGCCTCACATAGCCTAGGCTGCTTAGGACTTGCTGAAGATGGCCTTAACTTCTGACCCTCCTGCTTCCACAGGTGCTCACCACAGTGCTTGCTTTCTGTCCCCATAACTGGGGTCTAGTCAGTTCTTGATGTATGCTGGCAAAGTTTCTACCAACAGATCTACGCACCCTCTCCTTTTAACAGGGTCTCACACTATAGTCCAGACTGGCCTTGGGTTTGTAGCAATCCCCTGGAGTGACATTTTGTTTGTAATCTAACAAATAGAGCTTGCCTGAAGATCAGCACTCAGGAGACAGAGGCAGATGGATCTCTGTGAGTTCAAGGTCACCCTGGGATACATGAGAGTGAATCAGTCTAAAAGAGAAACAGAGTTCACACCTTTAATCTCAGCATTTGGGATGATCTGCCTTTAATCCCAGCACTACAGAGGAATGTAGGGCAGGAACTCAGTGCAGTTTCAGGGAGTCTGAGTTTGGTGGAGAGCATTGCAGTCCGCAGTCACACCAAGGACAGGCTCGCGCCCGCTTTGCTCTGAGCCTTGGTAGAGGTGAGAACTCTCTAGTGGCTTGGCTGCTTTGTTTTTCTGATGTTCAGCTTGAACCCTAATATCTGTCTCTGGGTTTTTATTATTTATTTATTTATTTAATTATTTATTTATTTATTTATTTTGTTTTTTCGAGACAGGGTTTCTCTGTGGCTGTGGAGGCTGCCCTGGAACTAGATCTTGTAGATCAGGATGGTCTCGCACTCACAGAGATCCACCTGCCTCTGCCTCTCGAGTGCTGGGATTAAAGGTGTGCGCCACCACCGCCCAGCCTCTGGGTTTTTATTAACCATGCTACAGTCCCCTGCCTCAGCCACTTGGAATGCTGGGATGACAGGCGTGAGCCACCCTTAGCGTTCCCTCCCCTCGCTCTTCCTTCTGCTCCTTTGCCTCCTGTTGCTTCTGCTGCTGCTGCTGCTGCTGCTGCAGGATCAGCCTTGTTGACCTGCTGGGCCGGAAGAGCCCCACTGTAACCCCGGAAGAGCCCCAGGGAGAGCCCCCTGTAACCCTGTGACTCGGGAGAGGCTGATGGCTGTGGACTCACCAACTCTCATGGCACTGTTGGTGAAGCGGGCGCTGTGCAGGACCTCCTCCTCATCCAGCTGGCCCAGCACCTTGGCCTGGCGCAGGTACGGGGTGAGGCGGCTGGGGCAGATGCTCTGGACGATCTTGCAGCGGTGGCTCTCTAGCGTGTCCCAGAGCGTCTCCTCGTCTAGGGTGCTCAGCGCGGAGTCCATGCGGCACAGTTGTGCCATACCTGGGCTCTGAGAGGGCGGGATGGGGTGAATTGTGGACTCCGAGAGGGTGGGATGGGGTGTTTGCGCTTTGGAGGACAGGGACTTTTCTGCTCCAACCCTCCTGGCCCCACACCACTGGTATAGAGAGAACACCCAGCTCAGAGAGTCAGAGAAACACCCTGTGTCAACACTAGGCTCACTTCTCACCCCTTATCTCAGGAAGGCCGCAGGTTTCACCTGGTGTCAGTAAACCACATTTGCCGTTGGGATTTCATTAACCCAAGAAGATGGTAGCAAAAACCAGGTCGGGGGCTGGGAGCATAGCTCAGAATTTACCCAGCATTGCTGAGGTGCTGGGTGCTAGGTTCCAATCTCAGTAACACACACACACTCACACACACACACACACACACACACACACACACTCACACACACACACACTACACAACACACAATACACAACACACACAAACACACACACACAACACACACACATACACACTACACACAACACACAATACACACTACACACAACACACAATACATACACACACACTCACACACACTCACACACACACAACACACACACACACACACACACACTACACACAACACACAGAGACACGGGGAGAAAAGAAAGTAAGGTTGAGAAACTGTTCTGGAGTAAACGTTAGAGCTTGGATGCTGTGTGTAGCAGCCGGCAATGTTTCTGCTGTTCTAAGGGCAGAAAGGGTCAGGTGGGGAGCAGGGCTGGGGAGAGCACACAGCCAGGACTGAATTGCAGGTGGGGACTCAGGGTGGCTGGGTAAAGGCAAAGCACATTACAGCCTGGATCTTGTTAAACAAACAAACACCACTGCTTTCAGACCGACCAGGGGGCTGGAAAGGGCTCCCCACTATACAGCCCCCCCACCCCATCTTTAGTCATTTTACAATGACTGTTACGGTGTCTGCCTTTTCGGGCTTCTGCCTCTGTGGAAGATCAAGTCACATAGCACCTTCCACTCAAACCGGCTGCTCCGGTGATGCTCCTGTGGGTGGACACTGGGCCACTCCAGGTTTCCACACCACACACACAGCCCTGCCAACATCCTGTGCATCTCTGGGCATAAATGGGAGTGGCCTCGGGACCACAAATTCCTGTGGTTTGATTATTTTCATTTATCCTAATGGGACAATGTTGAGCATCTCACGAACAGCTCTGAGCTTAAAGTTGCCCAGAAACATAGCAAGCTGTCCTTTGTGTTTATAACAATGGAATGTGACGGCTGGATCACCCTGTCCCCATGAGCAGCACCCAGTCTACCTGGGGACAGCTAATCTTGATCATTGACTTGACTATGTAGCACCATCTAAAAAATTCCCAATGCTTGTCTGCAAGGGTGTCTCCATGGAGGTCTAAGGAGTGAGGACTGGCCTGAGTGTGGGTGGCACCATGCCTGTGGGCTGAGACCCCAGACTGAATGAAGAGGAGGAAGCCAGCTGGATAGCTGCGTGCATCTGTCTCTGCTTCCTGTCTGTGGACGCAGTGTGAATAGCTCCTGTTCCTGCTGTCTTGCCTTCCACACCATGGCAGACTGTTCCCCAAAACCATGAACCCAAATAACCTGTTTCTTCATAGCAGCAAGAGGAACAGCTAATGAACCATGCTGGGACCCCAGGCTCCAGAAAGTTACTCACCAGAGGTGCCCAGAGTTGCTTCTGCAGGGCCTCCTTGCAGTTGGCTGGAATCTGGTGTCTCCCAGCCTGGCAGGTGAGCTGCCAGTGGTTCTTTCTCCACAGGCTGTAGTGGGGCAGGGCCAGGCAGGAAGGAGTGTGAAGTTACTTCAAACCATGTGACCTGCTCCAAAGCTCAAAGTACGAGCACCAAAGACTAAAGGCAAGTGGGAAAAGAAACAATAAAAGGTTGAGTTCATTCCAGAAATTGATGGAGACACCTCTGATGTTCTCGGTTCCTTAGAGGAAGCAGGCTCTGGATGGAGCCGGACTTAGAACCCTGCAACACTAGACGGAGCAGCAGGTATCATTGCCACTCACTGTTCACAGGCCAGTCAGCAACAGCCTCCTTGAATACCCATCTCCAGAACTTCCTCATGCAGAGAGAACTCTGGGAGAGAGCAGGTGGGCAGGCCAGAGCCATCACGAGGAAGAGAGTCACAAGGGGTTGATCAGGGAGCAGTCAGGAGCTCCCATGAGCTCCAGCAGCTCACGCCTGGTTTCCTGTTGACAGCTGACCCTAGGTGTTCTAAGTTACATCCCCCAAAGGACCTATGCATGTGGGCTTGTTGGAAGGAGGTTTTCACAGATGGAGTCTGTGAGCTCACTAGAGTGACTGGCATCCTTCTTTCAGGAAGTGGGGGCAGGGGGCATGGGGTGCCAAGCCAAACTCCCAGGGGAGAATTCTAGTAATACAGCGATTTGGAATGGCATGGGGCAGACATTCTTGGAGGACAGGAGGACCTGTAGTTTGGATCCACCGTCTGCACCATACTAGACACACAGGGCTAGGCGGTTTGGAAAACCGGGCCCTGGGGTGCCTGGTCCTTTGTCAGCATATCAGTCCACATCCCAAGGGTCTTATGGACCAACATTTGCATAGTGTTTACCTCCACATCAGAACAGGGTCAGCTGTAAACTGCAGAGCCTGGTGGAAGGTGAAAATAAAGCCAGACTTGGTGGCACCTTTAATCCCAGTACTCAGGAGGCAGAGGCAGGTAGAGCTCTGTGAGTTCAAAACCAGGCTGGCCTACATAGCAAGTTCCAGGTCAGCCACGAGTGACATAGTAAGACCTTGTCAAAAAAATAAAAATAAAAAGACATCACATTAAAAAGAATGAAAGAGATAGAAGGAAGGAAAGAAGAGGAAGGAAGGAGGGAAGGAAGGAAGAGAAAAGAAAGACAGAAACTTGATCTGGCATGCAGCTCACTTGGTAGAGCACTAGCCTTCTGTGCACTAATGCCCTGAGCCCTGTGTTCAATTCCCAGCATAAACCAGGTGTTGTGGTACTTGCCTCTGGTGCCAGCACCTGAGTGCTGTAAGAGATAAAGGAAGTGTTCACAGTCGTCAGCTACATAGCAAATTCAAGGCCAGCTTGGGCTACATGAGACCCTGTCTCAAAATTTAGTTAAAATTTTAATATAAAAAAGGAAATTGCTGGGTGCTGGTGGTGGCACACACTTTTGATCCCAGAACTGGGGAGGCAGAGTTTGAGACCAGCCTGGTCTACAAAGAGAATTCCAGGCTGTTTCACAGAGAAACCCTGTCTGGAAAAACAGAGGAGGAGGAGAGAAGGAAGGAAGGAAGGATGGATGGATGGATGGATGGATGGATGGATGGATGGATGGATGGATGGATAGATGGATGGATGATAGAAAGATCTCAGAGCTACTGACCCTATGCTGATCTCACTTTGGTCTCTGTTGGGAGCCATAAGTTAAGGGGCCATCCAGAGCAGTGGAAAACTACAGGTCCTTGAAGGACTTGCCACCTGGCAACTGCCACCACGGGCTGTTCTATCCCAGGTAGAGATAAGCAGCTCCGAGGACAAGAAACATAGGAGGCTTTCAGGCAACGGACATTCTTTAGATAGCCGCTTGCACCAGATGTACTAACTCCCTCCTCAGTTCCTCTCCTCCCTTCCGCGGCCGTTCCGGGAGCCCCACCGCCAGCGGCCTTGCTCCCCCCCTCCCTCCCTGTACACTCCCTCCTTGCCACATCCCTGTATAAGTCTTATTATTCCCTCAATAAAGTGAGACCGTGACAAAAAATTATGCTTGCATGGTCTCCTTTCTTTCTCCCGCCCATGACTCTCTTTCAGGCAGTACCTCTTCAGACCCTGAATAACGGGACCTGTGGGAAGGGTCAGGTCTCCAGCCTCTGATGTGGTCTAGGGAGAGGGCGGGGCTTGAGGGGCCCCCTACCGTGATCTGGCCTGCCCTACCAATATGAAACTAGGGGATACTGTCTTCAGTGTATGAAACACCCACCCCACTTCCATTCTCCTTCCTCTCTTCCTGACCTCCTGTCCGCCATCTTTTCCCTCCCCTTCCCTTCCTCTCTCTTCCTCCACACCCTTTCCCTTCTTTCTCTAGGCAGTGTCCTCATTAGTCTATCACTTGACTGTTCAGAGCCCCACCCAAGCCTTGTTCCTCTTATGCCAGTCCCTGACCTCTGTGTGTGGGTGCTCAGGACACTGGTCGCCAGCCTCTCAGATCCTTCCACCTGGTGTGACCTCCCAGGGCTACTTGCACTGTGTCTGGGGGTTCCCCTTACCCGTCCTTGGATTCCAGGAGCGTGAGTGAGCACAGCTACCTGACATGTCAGTGACAAATGCAATGTGTGAAGCAAGGACAGATGATGACAGCACAGAGTGGGACAGAGTCCTGGGAGCCCTCTACTGAGATCTTGCCAGTTTTTAAATCGTTTAAAGGGGTGGGGGCCAAGTTAGAGGGCTCGGTAGGTAAAGGCATTTGCCACTAAACCTGATGATCTTGAGTTCAGTCCCTGGGACCCACAAGGTGGGACGAGAGGACCAACTCCAGGTTGTCCTCTGACCTCCACACTAGTGTTCCTCGTCCCCAGTAAATAAGTAAATAGATAAATGAAAAAAATTGAAGTTTAAAATAAAAAAAATAGCCACAAAATCAGAATAGGGGAACCAACAAGGGAGAAGGTTTGGAGAGAGGACAGCAGCCCTGAAACCAGCCTGGAGAGACCCAGTGCCATGAGGAGAGAGAGGGTCTCGGGGCAGAGAGAGCTGGGTTGCCTCCTCCTGCTCTGTGCCCACCCAAGAAGGAGCTCAGTAGGTCCACATCTGTAGACCACACATCACGCTTCCCTGCACCTTCGGCAGTCACCAACCAGAGAGACATTTCCTTCTTAGATTTTTGTCTCAGCCCTAAAAGAAGGGATTCTCCCTTACATGTGCTGGTGTCGGGGAAGATGGAAGTGTACCAGGGAACAGCAGATGCTGGCTGAGGTGGAGAAGGTTCTGGAAAAGTCACAAGAAAGGAGATGG